AAATATATATATATAACCTAACCTACCTCTTATCTATAAAAGAAAGGTAAAACGTCGCCCGGGCATTTATTTCTGACCCGCGGCAGACTCAAATCACGGGCCATTAGCCAGCCCTATCATAAAGTGTTAGATATAAGCTCTAGTGAAGTGCATCAGACCGCCCCTATAGTTATCAGAACTGATTTGGGTCTGCCGCGGGTCAGAAATAAATGCCCGGGCGACGTTTTACCTTTCTTTTATAGATAAGAGGTAGGTTAGGTTATATATATATATATATATTTATTAAACATAAATCTGGATCCCTTGGATACTGCTTCATCTTGGTTCGAGGCAGCTGGATGGTAGCCGGATTCGAAACCTTGTCGATTTCTTCTCTTTTCGGTCTGGTGGTGATATCGGCTTCGAGAATGGAAACATTCTCCAAATCATGACTTTTGATTTGATTTGTAGTACTGGATATCGGACTTAGGCTATTGTCCTGGATTTTCGGATTCGCAATGGAAGCCTTGTCGAAAATTCTACTTCGAACGTCGACTTTGGCTTCGGGGTTGGAAACATTATGCAAATTACGACTTTTGCTTTGATTTCCTATGTTGGAAATCGGACTTGGAGCTTGGCTCGGGATTTTGAGGTTTGGATTGGAAACATTGTTGAAAATTTTACTTTTGCTTCTGACAGCGGCTTCAGCTTCAGGATTGGAAACATTATGCAAATTAAGGCTTTCACCTCGGTTTTCTATGCTAGAAACCGGGCTTGGAGCTTAGTACTGGATTTTGAGGTTTGGATTGGAAACATTGTTCAACATTTTACTTTTGCTTCTGTTCTGACAGCGGCTTCGGCTTCAGGATTGGAAACGTTATGCAAATTCTGACTTTTGCTTTGAATTTGGATTATAGGAACGTTGGTGAAGTGGCTTATTGCGGACTTAGTCTCCGGATTGGAAACCTTGTCGAAAATATGACTCGCTGTTGACGACGACTTCGGGCTCGGGATCGGAAACATTGTGGAATGCTTTACTTATGGCTTCGCTGCGTTGAAATCTTGCGCTGGAGCGTGGTCTCGGGCGTTGGAACTTGGATTCGAAAGATAGTCGAAATCTGACATTTTACCTGGAAACAAAATATGGCCGTATAGAAAATTACATTTTAAATTGAGTTCCTTGTTCTTTAAATTCGATCCAAATTGGCAAACATGGTATAGAATAAATTGAAAGCAGCTTGTAAGCTTTTATTTGTACCACAAGCCTTAGTATATATAATCTAGGATAGAGGGTATTGTAATATGATTTTTGCCTTTTTATCTGTCACTGTATTATCATTTTTATATTTTGAATGCTCCGTATTCCGTCGTTTCTGAAAATTTCGATTTCTGAGAATTCGATTCGTTCGATTTGCTGAAAATTGTGTTTCTTGAGTTATTAAGTCTTATTTGGTTTTCATTTAAAACAATTTTTAGAGCGTATTTATAATTTCCATTACATCGAATCTAGCCGACCTTTCTTGTATTTAAGCATTTCTTGAATTCTTGAATAGCTTTCTTAAACAGTTTTTAACGAAAACAAAAATAAAAGGCATTTTGCTGGGGGGAAATTTCACATTTTGAAGTTATGGACGCATTGTATGTTTTTTTATTACTACCCATGGCTTCCCAAGGTAAACAAAACTTTTTATCAAGAATAACTTTTTTTCGAAATAACAATAAAAAATTTTTATAAGAGTGCGATACTGTATAATTGAAAACCTGATTATATAGTTTTAGTCATAAGAGTGCAGTGTAGTATTGTGTAGAAGGAGCATAAATCTATAATTATAAGAATTATACAGGGTGTCCCATAAGTACATGATCAAAAAGATACTGCGATATTCTTTGGCTCAAAAGAAGACGATTTGACACCTAACTTCCATTAAGAAAAAATGTCTGGTTCCTCTGCTACTGACTGCAAATGTTCTTGAAAAAAAAATGTTTTTTTGTAATATCTGAAGAATGTTACGATGGATTTTATTGAAACTTGCTGTGGACTTGTTCTTAAGTAAAACTCATGTTTTGATGAAGCAACCGCGTTTATCTGCCTTGGGCTAGTGATAAATTCCTTAGTGTCTTGATACAAGAATTACCAAAACTTTTTATTTGGTCGCTGGAATGAATTCATTTTATTTTTGTAGATGCATTAGTCCTTTTCCGAGATTTTCGCGCTCTTGGTAAAATCTTGTAGCATTCATGGTTTTTACGCAAAAATTTTTTTTTCAATTTTAGACAATCATTATCACTACTAAAGTACAACAAATACTCACTACAATGACTACTATCGTAGTAAGTATTTTGGTAAAATCTTGTAGCATTCATAGTTTTTACACATAAAATTGTTTTCTGTTTCGTTGCGATTTAACAATTTTAAATGTACCTATCGCAGTAAATCTGCCCTTTTACAAGAAGCAGCTTTCTCTAATAATAATTGCGCCAATTCTTTTACTTAGGATATCAATATTGATAGTAAAATGGTCGCAACTATAAAATCTGTCGACGGATTGAATATAATTTTACTTCATTAGATTTTTTTTTGATAACACTCAAGAAATGTAAAGACATACCTAGGAAAGACAATTCTCTTTATTGAAACTGGATGATATTTACATAGATACGATAGATGATGGTGGAATTACAAGACATGTTCGATATGTCCCCCAGTTTCCTGCATGCATAGATGGATCCTTCAACTGAAATTGGATTGAGCCATCCTCTACATTTTTGGATCTTTCCGTATTACGCCCGCCTCGTTTTGAATCCTACGCAATAATTCTTTCTGGGATTCCACAGGAGTAGTGTAAACTTTATTCTTCAAGGCTCCCCATAGAAAAAAATCTAACAAAGTTAAGTCGGGGAACCTGGGGGGCCATTCGACAGGAACATCTCTCCCTCTTCTTCCAATCCAATGTGCAGTTACATTTGTACTGAACTGCGGAGGAGCACCATCGTGCATGAACCACATCTGAGCACGAAGATCGAAAGGGACATCTTCCATTAGAATCGGAAAAGTATTCGTCAGAAAAATTGAAATAATTTTCGCTATTCAAGCGGCGCGGCATGACATAAGGACCCAGAAGGATGTCACCGATGATCCCGGTCCAAACATTTATTGGAAATTCACCTGAAAGTGGTTAATACGCCTCGCATGAGGGATTTCTTTTGCGTAATCTACTCTACCAGAGTATCTATCGAAGCAGCCACGGGGAAGAAATCTTACACCAAGTGGTAAGCCCTCGAAACCAGAAAAACTGTCGGAAGCCCACTGACCAGGGCAAGTCTTCCTCTCAAACGGAATCCACGTGGGCAGGTATTTATATTGGTCAAATTGAAATAAAAGGATTATAAGAATCCTGGAGACATAATGCTGGATACGCAATCACAAAAAAAGGCCTAAAAAGATAAAGGCGTCTAAGTAGGTGCTGTAGAAATATAGTGTCCAAGAAAATAAGGCAAAACCTTACCTTGGTTGTAGGGCGGCCTCATGGAAAAAAATGTACGTATTTTACGTCTTGAGTTTTATGGGCAGAAATCCAACCACCAGGTTGATACTGGAACTACCAGAATTTATATATCTCAACGAAATGTGCCCACAGAAGCAGCTGAATCCACATATAACTTGTTATAATTTTATCGTGCCTAGAGCACACGCTGCAGAATACTTAAAACGACGTTCTCCTCGAATCGGTCAAGGAAAGGTTTAGCAAAAAAGAATCGAAAGGAAAGGTTCGATTGCCGGTAAACCGCGTTTAATTTTAAATCAATATAACCTATTATTTTAATATTTTGCGCGAATAAGCCTTTAATTAATTCAAATTTTAACCTAATGTTAAGCAACAGCCGTAGTTGAAATATTCCAATTCTTTTTTTTTTAATGAATCAGATAAGGATAATCTCTCTGATTTCAATTAATGAGAAGAAAAGAGAAAAACAAAAAAATACGCCCGTAACAAGGCGTAATTTTGTATTATCTGATGCTTCAAAATATTATACGGCTAAATTAGCACCTAAATTCATTGGTCCTTTCGTTATTCATAAGCGTGTATCTCCATTTACCTACCAATTAAAAGATCGGGAAGGCAACTTGAAAGGAATTTGGAACGTTAAAGATCTTAAACATGCGCTTGACCAAGATGATCTCTACTCCGCGGTCGAAATTATAAAGAGTGACTAAAACATAATATAAAAACACTATTACCATAATGCGTATAGAATATAAAATGATTTTTATACGGTTCAATATTATTTATCTTTGTGACGCTCGCTACGCACATCAATAGAATCTATAATCGTCTAGAGACCGAGTTACACTAAACGTCGGTCTATATTCTATCTCTGTCTTTTGCACTTGGTAGGGAATAGGGAAATGCTTTTTTAGTGAGTGTAAACGGACTTGATTTAACCCGTCCTGAGAAACGTCATAGCATAAGCGTAGACGAGGGGTCTAATTCCATAGCTATAATAAATTTATAAATTAAAAAAACACAATTGGGACGTTTTAAAATGCTGTAATAATTAAAATGGATCAAAGTGCCTGTTATAGCAAACCGTAAAAAATATTAGATGTTATGTTTTATTATTTTTCATTATTTTCTATATCTTGTTGCCTTTTACGCAGACACG